GTTTGTGTAATGCCCCAAATATCGAATCAGGGATTTTATTAAAAAGATTTAAATTTGAGAATTTATTTGATTAAATGATAAAAGATGAAAAATGATTTAGATTAGTGGTTTAGACTAAATTGTATCATTAAATAATTAATAAGGCATTTTGGTCATTTGGAATAAAATGAATATAAAATTTATTTTTAATAAGGTATTAAAGTAAGGAAATAAGGGGAAAGTAAGTTACAAAAAGCCATATCTTTTCTTCTTCTTTCCCGAGGAAAAGCTCTCCCTTATAGCCAAAGGTAAGGTTTCATTTGGCTAGTTTATTCTTTCGTTTTTGGCTTGTTTTTGAAACATTGACAATTATAGAGGCTTAAGGAAGGATTAAATAGGATCAAAACTAAGAGATGAATGAAATATTGGAGATTTAAGAAAATGGGTTTTGGAATGATATGTTAAAATATGAGTTTTTATTGATCTTTACTAGTATATTTGACTTTTCAAAGAAGTAAATGAGAGATTTGAAGAATTAGTTTGGTTTAAAAACATGTTAGAAAAAGTGGTATGATTCTTAGATTGAAATTTTCTTGGGATATTTTAGATGTTTTAAGAAGCTAAGTTAAGGAAAGTTAGTAGGGATAAGTAGATAAGAGTTTAATAGTATTGTTGGGTGTAAACATAAGGGAAATTGGCCAAACGTGGGTAAATATCGGGCTGAAAATGGAAAAGCTGGGTAAGGGTATCGGTACTGGAAGAACAGTACCAATACTATAGGCTTAAATTGGAAGAAATCAGTTGAACAGTATGGATATTGATGCAGTTAGTATCGATACTTATCTGGGTATCGATACCATGAGGAATATATCGATACCATTGATTTACAGAATGCATAAATGGTATCGATACCGTATTAGAGTATCGATACTGTAGTATAAAAGTATCAGTACTAAGAGATAGATACCAACACCATGGATTCAGAATGTAGAAATGGTATCGATACTGAAGGGGAGTATCGATACCACAATATAGATGTACCAATACCATGGTAGAGGTATCGATACTATTAAGCTAGAAATTGTAAAATGGGTTGAGATTGTTATAGAAAATTTAATAATAGTACTTTTGAGTATTGTTTAAGTATAAATGTTAGGGAATGTACTAACAATTGATATTATACGTGTCTTTAATGGATGCTTAAGTAGATCAAAATCAAGCTCTCGAGTTAAGCAAAACAAAAGGCAAAGGCAAAGTAGCTGAGTAATCAAAATGCATTTTGGGATATAATAGCGAAGCAAACCAGGTGAGTGCATTTATTATGTACCTATATGTGATAATTATTATATATGTATGATTTCTTAATATATGTATCGTGATTACCAAATGGGCACTAAGTGCGCAACTCACAAAGTTCATCATATGTTGATGAACAACCATTTCGGCACTAGGTGTGCAACTCACGGAAGTCATCATATGTTGATGAACAACCTTTTCGGCACTAGGTGTGCAACTCACGGAATTCATCATATGTTGATGAACAACCATTTCGGCACTAGGTGTGTAACTCACAAAAATTCATCATATGTTAATGAATAACCGTTTCGGCACTATGTGTGCAATTCACGAAATTCAACATATGTTGATGAACAACCGTTTATGAATGACCGCATGGGCACTACGTAATTCATAATTGGTTTATGAATAACCGCATGGGCACTACGTGTGCATCGCAATGAAATGATAATAACTTGAAAATAATGAATTGGTATTTGATCGATATGAAATAATGAGATAATGATTTCATCATACTATTAGTCTTGCCTCACTAAGTAAATACTTAAAGTGTGTTTATTTCACGTGTAGGTTATAATATAAGTGGAGTAAGGAGATCATCGGACATCAAAGAAAGTGTCGCCTCGTTAGTAACAATATGACATTCATGTCTACTTTTGATGTATTTTTCTTGGCATGTAATAGATTTAGTAAAAACGCTCTAAAAAGCATTTGATTTAACCTGATGTAAAACATTTAAGTATTTGAACATTACTTTTTGTTTATCTATTTATGTTTAATGCATGTTTTATTATTAGTATATTAAAATGTTTTATAAAAAGAAACAAAATTTTACGGGTTTTTAAATGAGGGACTGTTTAAAAAGTGATGTGACATATGTATCTCCTGTACGAAAAGATATACAAGAGATAGGTGTTATAGTTTGAATTTTTTTCTATAATATCTACTAATGCTATGAGATTTGCAGGGTTCAAAAGTTTATAATGTCTTTACGTATTGAAAGCACACCCATTGTGTTAAAGGTTTTGTAAAATTCTAACCTTAGAAAGAATCTAAAGCAATCCTCATATATTTCACTAATAAAAAAAATCATCGTTGAACTTCGTTAAAAAGAGTTTAAAAATTTTCATCAACTACGGAAACATCCTAATCCTTAGTGCAATAAAAACAATGCAACATGAACATGACAAATACAAATGCAACAAAAAAATCAAGTGTGGCATCACAAATGAACAACACCTCCCAAACCTGAGATGTGCATTGCCCTCAATGCATGCAAACAATGATAAAAATAAAACAAAACAAAACAAAACAACTTGGAAGAAGGGACAACAACAATCCCCTAATATTAGTAAGGATGTTATATAGCAATGACTGTGTGGATGTTTTGCTAATGCAATATGTAGCGATGCAATCTGGAATTCAAAAAGGTGTTAGGCAGCAATGGTAGTTTGTAACTCCAATTGATACTGTGAAGCAGATGCAACATATAATGACTAATTATGTGATGATTGCTGTGGGAACTTAACCTTAAATGAAATGAAAAATTTTCAACAAAAAATTGTTAAATAAATCTAATCTAATGTCATAAATGACTTATTAAAATCATGTAGAAAAATGATTTCACATAGTGAAATGGAAGTTCGTGGAAACTTCGTCTGGGTCCCAATAAAATAATTCTCCTTTATGTTTGTCGATGGTCATTGTGGCATCATCAATGCTATAGGTCCTTTGTGCTTGTGGGATCAGAACATTTTTCACAATAAAACTCTTGCTTGCTCGAATCAGTCATGAAGTACAATTCTTCATTATCACCATATAAATGTATGGGCTTAACAGTTTGAATCTTCGGACAAGGGCTTTCATTGTAAGAGCCTTGTGAGACCTTCCTCGATGCATTGACTATTGTTGAATTTTTATGCACCGTGGTAGCATTTGTAGTTTTCCTCAGGTGCTCATATTGTGGCTTTATAGTCAGCATTAGCGGTGCATAACAAATGTTGAGGCCAGGATCAATATAAAAGCATCGGTTCCCCTCTGGCTCGTCCGAGTCTTATTTTTTCTAGTAATATTAAAGAGTTCTTTAATGCTCCCACATTCATCTAATTGCTATTGTACTTTTTTTTCAACATTGTCAACATCATGACATTACTCTTCTTTATCATATTGAAGAGGGTCGAACACATTAAATGTAATTTGTTGGTTATTGAGACGTAATATGAGGTCTCCCTTTTTCAACATCAATTAATGTTCTTCCAGTGACAAGGAATGATCTTCCTAATATTATGGGAACCATTTTGTCGGCTTCACAATCTAAGACAATGAAGTCCGCTTGATATATAAATTTATCCACTCGTACTAGCACATTGTTAATCTTGCCTTCGAGATAGACAATGGATCGGTCAACTAGTAGAACTGTAACGATGCGGGTTGTGCTTTACCAATCCCATGTTTCTTTTGCGGTAATTTTCTCATGAAAATGGCACTACACCCTTTAGTGAGTGCAACGATCTTAAAATCACCAATTATACGTTTCTTGGAAAACAACTCATTCATAAATTTAACGTAGTTTGGCATTTACTTCAATACTTTCAGCAATGGTATATTAACATGCAATTATCGTAGCACATCAATGAATTTTCTAAATTACTGGTCCTCCTTGCATTTCTAGAATCATTGATGAAATGAAAGTGGATGTCTTTCTTCTAATTTGGGGTCGGTGGTGGCATTAGAGGAGGTATTGCTGCTGGCATTATCCCATAATTACTACATTGTCTTGTCTCCCTTACTGTAACATCAATAGTTGGTTCAATGCTCACTTTCGTTTCTTTGCCCTTATCTTGTTGTTCAAACCTATCAACATCCTTCTACCTATGATCCTTAATAGGCTTTCCAATATGGAGATCGCTTCGAGTTATGAAGGCTTTGTAATGCTAATAGTAATGAGCTTTTCCTTGCTTCTTTAGGTTCCCAGTATCGCTAGACAGCACACTTTATGGTCGATTGCTTAAAGCATTCACCATTTATTTTACTGTATTCTCTAAAGCTCTTACTGATGTTGATTAACTTGTCATGTACTCCTTCATCAAGGCTTCAAGAGATGAAAGATCGGTGGTTCAGGTTGAAGATTGTCCTTGATAATTCTCCCTTTGTTGTGTATGTGTAGCCTATTGCTATGTTTGATACTAAGATATCAACTGCTATTGATTCTAATGTTAGGACTGATTGTAATAATGTTATTTTGGATTTGTAACATTTTGACTCTTCGAAGACAAATTGGGATGGTTACGGAAGTTGGAATTATAAGTGTTTCCATATGAATCATCGTTCCTATTGTAGTTCCTCATGTAGTAGACAAATTTAGGATTTTGGGGGCACTCCTCATAGCTATGATCATCTCCACAATAAACACATGAGAGGAGAGATGTTGTCTTCACCTCGTGCATACCCCCAACTTTTTTAACTTCTTCACCATATCCATCAATGTTGTGATTTGAGAAGCCATGGAACTGAAAGCATCAAAATCCACTACTGTAGCATTACGTCTACCAAACATGTTCCTCATGCTAGGGTATTGATTAACATTGTTTGATATTCTTTCCATAATATCATAGACCTCATTATATGTCTTGTCCAACAATGCTACATTTGTTGAAGCATCAACCACCATTTGAGTGTCCATGTTCAACCCATTATAGAATATTTCCATTTGCGTCCAATGTGGAAATCCATTCATTGGACATTTTCATAGCAAGTCTTTGAATCTCTCTCATGCCTCATACAAATTCTCATCTTCTAGTTGCTTGAAATATGTCAAATCATTTCGTAACTTCACATTCATATTTGGTGAATGGAATCGCAACAAATATTTTTGTACTAGCTCATTCAAAGATGATATAGCACAAAGAGGCAACGAATTCAAACGTTTTATAGCTATTGGGACCGTCAGCTCACCGAATGGCGCAGCGGAAACAAAAATTCAACGTTCTCACCAGCGATCCAAGTATGATAAATCGAAATCGAGAAGAAAAGATGCGAATAATTACAACGGGTTCCTTGAAAAACAGCAAAGACAGTAGCGACTAATGGTGGTGTCGATCTGTTCGAATCATAAGCCTCCACAAAACCATGTCTCGGCCTCTACTAGTTCACCGATTGAGATCAATATTTGTTTTTCCTAAAACTGTTGTGAGAAAAATGGCTACAGATAATGTGTAAAAAACGACTGCTAGACCTTACACCTCGTTTTATATCCAAGTTACCCTAACATATTAGTGATTTTATTATTTCAAATTAATTAAATCTTTATTTAATTAATTTAAATTAAATATTTGGGATTATTAAAACATATGTATATCAAATATACATATATTAACTCTAGATATATTTTAGTAACGTACAACAAATTGTACATCTTTGCTCATTTCAATCCTAGGGTGTGACCCTGTAGGTTCTTCTAACGTTAGCAGTGATTATTAGAATAATTCTAATATTACATACAATGAGTGACATCTAGAAATATATCATTGTCACCTAAGTTACAAGAAAATATGATTCGACATATCTTCTTCGTGATTAACTCTTTTATGTATAACATCATTTTGTCCTTTATATCTAGAATATGCATAAGTCTTGGAATAGTCACACTTGTATAGCCCATCTATTATTTTTTTATATCTAGAGTAGACTTTAATTAACAAATAATTTGTGATATAAAATAACAACTTATTCGAGCATGGCCATGCAATTATAGTCTCGCTCAATCAAGTGGCCTGTGATATATTTCCTATTATGTAGGAAGGACAAATCATATCTTAATCATACACACCCAATACATATATCGAGATATATTCAATAATAGTCTTTATATAACAACCAATTATGAAACATGTTTAACTACATCAATACATACAACAATATATGTTGGGATATCATTGATCTCAAGTCTGAGGATCATATATATAGTCATCACCTTGAGCAATATTATGATTGTCATGTAATAGTCCAAGACATATGCTCATGGTGGGTCAATCCAATAAATTGTTTTCTATCAATAGAATCATGTATCAATTTTGACATCTCTATGCCAATGACAACTCGTTGTCATCAATCAATAACATGTTAGTTTTAAGTGTATTATTATTGTTCGTGCCCATAATAATACTTGACTATGGATCTTTTAATAATAACAATTATGTTATAATATGGACTTTATTATCTTCCAGTTTATGTTAAACACTTATATATAACTGAAAATAATAGCAGCAATGCTTTTATTCAATAAAATCTGTAAATAAAATGTATCATTACAATAATCATATGATGGTCTTTGGGCATACTCTAACAATCTCCCACTACCACTAAGACCAATCACTCACATATCTAATATCGAGTGACTCGGTTGGACGATCATTCCTCTACTGTGTAAGAGGCTTTGTCAAGGGATCAACAATGTTGTCATCCATGAGTACTCTGAATATTTTCACATCTCCTCAATCTATAATCTCTCGAATGACATGAAATTACCTAAGAATATGTATGGACCGTTGATGAGATATGGGTTCCTTTGCTTGTGCAATGGCTTCATTATTGTCACAATGAAGTTCTATAGCATCTGATATACTAGGAACAACCCTAGTTCAAATATTAACTTCTTGATCAAAACAGCCTCTTTTGTTGCTTCACTGGATGCAATGTATTTAGCCTCTGTTGTAGAATCGCCTATTGTGTCTTGCTTCAAATTTTTCCAGCTTACAGTACCTCCATTAAGACAAAACATAAAACTTGATTGTGATCGTGAGTCATTCTTGTCAGTTTGAAAGTTGGCATCTGTGTAACCTTTTACACTAAGCTCTTCCTCACCTCCATATATGAGAAATGTATCCTAGTTCTTCTTAAGTACTTAAGGATATTTTTAACTGCAACCCATTGATTTTCACCAGGATTTACCTTATATCGACTCGTATGCTTAAAGCATATGAAAGCATACGATACATCTGATTGAGTACATATCATGGTATACATGATAGAACCAATAGCCGAAGCATATTGAATCTTATTCATCTATTCTCTTTCTTGTGGAGTTGAAGGACACATTTCCTTCGAAAGAGAAATGCAATGTCTCATAGGCAAAAATCCTTTATTGAATTCTTCCATACTGAACCTTTTCAACACTTTGTCTATATATATTCTTTGACTCAGACCTAGAAGTCGTCTTGATCTATCTCTATAGATCTTAACTCCTAAGATATACGCTGCATCACCCAAATATTTTATAGAAAAACAACTACCTAACCAACTCTTAAAAGATTGTAAAGTGGGTATATCATTTTCTATTATGAGTATATCGTCTACATACAAGATTAGGAAAGAAACAAAGCTCCCATTAGCCTTCTTATAAAAAAAAGTATCATCTTCATTTCTGATAAAACCAAATTCTTTGATTGCATCATTGAAACGATGATTCCATCTTCGAAAATCTTGCTTTAGTCCATAAATAGACCTCTGTAGCTTACAAACCTTTCCAGCATTTCTTGGAGCGACAAAACCTTCTGGTTGTGTCATAAACATATCATCTTCGATTTATCCATCAAGGAAAGCAGTTTTGACATCCATTTGCTATATTTCATAATCATGGAATGCAACTATTGCGAGAAAGATTTGGATGCACATAATCATATCAATAGGAGAGAATGTTTCGTCATAGTCTACACCATGAACTTTTCTAAAACCTTTAGCGACTAATCGCCCCTTGTATGTTCATATAGTACCACCCATGTCGGTTTTCTTCTTGAAACCCCATTTACACCTATAGGTTTTGCCCCTTCAGGTGGTTTAACCAAAGTCAACACTTGGTTTACTGACATAGAATCCATCTCAGATCTCATGGCTTCAAGTCATTTCTCAAATTCTGGTCTAGACACTGCCTCTTGATAAGTCCTATGCTGATCTTGATCCATAATAATAACATCTTCATCTTTGGTAATGAGAAATCCAATTCTCTCATGTGCATGGCATTCTCTTATAGATCTGCGCAGTTGTTGTGCTTCTAAATCCGTTGATTGTTCCTCAACAAATTTTGAAACATGCTCAACTTCTAGTTCATTTATCTGTTGTTCTTGAACTTCTCCAAGTTTAATATTTCTACCATTCCCTTTCTTTAAGAGAAATTCTCTTTCGAGAAAAACTCCCGTTCGAGCAACAAACAATTTGTTCTTATTAGGGTTGAAGAAATAATATCCCTTAGTTTATTTAGGATATCCAACAAATATACACTTATGATATTTAGGTTTGAGCTTTGTAGACATCTAATGTTTTACATAAACTTCACAACCCTAAATCTTAATAGAAGACATACTAGAATGCTTCCTAGTCTATATCTCGTATTGTGTCTTTTGAGCCGATTAAGATGGAACACGATTTAGTGTGAAAGTAGTTATTTTAAGTGCATGTCCCCAAAAAGAAGTAAAAAATCACTATGACTCATCATCTATAGAACCATGTCTAACAGTGTTTGATTTCTTCTTTCAGAAACTTCATTCCACTGTGGTATAGCAGATGGTGTAAGTAGTGAGACAATCTCACATTCTTTCAGAAGTTCATCAAACTCTATGCTTAAGTATTCTCCATCTTGATCTAATCGAAGTGCCTTACTACTATTTCCTAGTTGATTTGTACTTTATTTTTAAATTCCTTAAACTTTTCAAGGGATTTATAATTATGGCACATAAGATAAATATACCCATACCGACTAAAGTCATCAGTGAAAGTAATGAAGTAATAGAATCCACCTCTGGCTTGTGTATTCATCGGTCCACATACATCACTATGTATTAAGCATAATAAATCACTTGCTCACTCACCTTTACAATTAAAAGGAGCTTTAATCATTTTTCCCAACAAGCAAGATTCGTATACATCATATTGTTCAAAATCAAATGAATCTAAGAATCCATCTTTATGGAGTTTTTATATGTGTTTCTCACTTAAATGGCCTAAACGACAATGCAAAAGATATGTTTGATTCGAGTGATTTGTTTTTGAACTTTTAATATTTATGTTATAAATGGTGTTTTCTTGATCCAAAATATAGAAACCGTTAACCAATTGTGCGGAACCATAAAAAACATTACCGAGATAAAAAAATAGCAATTATTATTAATAATAATCTCAAAACCAATCTTGTCCTAACAAGAGATAGAAATAATGTTCTTAGTCAAACTAGGCACAAAATAATAATCCTCTAAATTTAAATCAAGTCCACTAGGCAAAGATAAAACATATGTCCCTATAGCTAATGCATCAACTCTTGCTCCATTTCCCACTTGTAGGTCTATGTCTCCTTTAGTCAGATTCCTTCTATTTTTTAGTCCCTATATAGAAGTACAAATATGAGAACCATAACTGATATCTAATACACATGAAGTAGATGTTGACAAATTACCATCAATAACATAAATACCTGAAACAAATGTTTCGTTTGCTTTTGCCTTATTGAACTCTTCAAGGAAAACAGGGAAGATTCTCTTTTAGTGTCCGGTCTTATTGCAATGGAAACATTTTCCTTCCTTGATAACTCCCCCTTTGGGTTTCAATGCATCATCTTCTTTCGGCTTGGCCTTACCATTTCCCTTAAACTTTTCTGATACCTTTTTCTGTCCATTTCCTTTGTCCTTGTGGACCATCGGAATGTGCTTAGGTCCAACCTTTTTTATGTTACTTTTAGCATTTTGTAACATGCCAAGTAACTGTGGAAAAGTCTTGTTAATTTCATTCATGTTAAAATTAAGGAAAAATTGGCTAAATCTATCGGCAACGATTGTAAGATAACA